TTAATATCTTCTGAACCGAGTGGCTATAATCGGCAACCGCATCACCCTCAAAAACAGCAACAGCAGGGCCAATTAGGACGTTCAACGGTAAATAGTGGCAAGTTCTCCTCGTTTGTAGCGCGCAACAACAACAATGGCAACGGCGCGGCATCACCGTCAAACGGAGCTTCGACATCTGCCGCAGCCGCCGCCATTGCTGCTGCTGCTAATCAATTTTCCAACGGCGGCAAGCAGGCCAGCAACAGTGGTACTCTTGTTTCCTCACAACGAGCAAAGAGTACTAATGGCAACAATATGTCTTTAACCAAATATAAAAATGGTGGCCCTGGCAATGAAGAAATTATGAGGTTGAGTACTACGTTAGTAACCGAGAGTCATCTTAGTTACCTAAAAAGAATTCATGAAACTAATGTATTTTATTCATTTTTGCTTATGTTCGCTTAGGGATGAAGTTAATGGCCACTTGGATAATGTTCAGGATGAATTGGAATCGCTTAAGGATTTACTGCGCAGTGATGGCTATTCATTGGATGCCAACACTCTTTTGGGCGTAAGTATTTACAAAATTGGTACTTTGGTATTGAAATGATAGTTGTTCACTGATTTGTTGTTGTAACAGCGTTAAACATATGAGTGTTTCCATGAAAATGTAAATTGAAATTGCAAGTAAATGGGTTCAAACGACTTTGTAGCCTTAAATTTCGTATTCAGTTGGAAAAAAAAGGTTATGTAAACGCGAAACGGTGGAGAACTGAACTAAATTATATACGTATCGGTGAGCCTTTACAATAACGCCGAAATTGAAAAAAAGTAAAATAAAACTTTTACTAACGTAAAGAAGTGGTGCATGTCTCTAATCTGTGTCTTATGCATGTGTAATCTTTACTACTTACTGTAGGAATTCATACTACCTACTTTAGTAGGGATTATACAAGGATTATAGACATGAGCCCCTTAAACATTAGTAAGCGATATTAGTAGTAACGGATATAATTTTTTGAATTTGAATGGTGTCGTTATTGCAGAGGACCATCGATATGTATTATTACTAATTTAGTAGTAAATATCGTCCCATTTCTGCCTTAACCACGTATATACAATTTTTGGGAAAACTAATATTACCACTTATAACAGCTGCTTAAGCGTCACACTATTTGAAAATAGTGGAACCAGAAATATTAAGTAAAAAATGCATTTATTTTATTCCAGGGGAAGAAATTAAGCATTTTTTCTTACACTCTCTAAATTACCACTATTGCAGATACGAGGTTGAGTCAGAAACGGGACGATATATTGTATGGGGGAAAATCGGACATGATCGATTATCACATTTTATTTCAAAATAAAACCAACCACGAATTGCTTCTGATTAGATATGAATTGCTTATAATGGTCCGTAATTTTACTTTATTTAAAGAATGTTTAACAAAGGAAAGCCTGACAGGATTCGCAGAGTTTTGCCTAATCTTACATGAACTTTGAAACAACTGTTTTTGTCACGTCCGTTTTGGCCTCGATTTTCCCGACACCAGTGTTCGAGGCGCACGTAATTTTTTTGCCAACTAAAGGACGATATAAAAGCAACGCAACGACAATTTTTTTTTATAAGTGATTTCCGTTTTCGTATGATTTATTTAATTCTTAAAGTCGTGCGAATGTCACCATGGCGTTCCTAATCTCTATTTTAATCTTAATAACTCTCAATATTAGTATATATAGAGTCCAAAAAAGAGAGATCCGAACCATATTCGAAGTCTTATGACTTTTTAACCAACTTCACAAAAACGAGAAAGGTTATCAATTCGTTAAAATATTTTTTTTTTTTATGTATGTTACCGATTTCTATAATTCTTTTTTAAAGAAAAGGGTTACCTCACTCACAGTTGGTCCCATATTAATTTGGTTTAAATTGGATCATGAAGAAATTCACGATAATCTTAAATTTTTATATGAGAATTCGAGTCGGTTTTGTTTTTTGCTTAAAAATTACTTGTTCATTTCTTTATTCAGAACTTTTCCGAGAATAACATCAAACATAAAATATGCATTGAAAGGGAAATGCAATAAGTACAAATTTTTTTAATATATTGCAAAACAACAATAAATATGGGTGGGAGCGTACCATGATCCAGTTATTCAAAAATTGTACTATGTGGTCGTAGTAAGTATATGAACAGAAACGATACTTGTCTATTAACATTTCGTAAAGTCGCGTGCTCGCCGTTATTTGTAAAATTTGTTGTCGATTTTTTCACATGTTAGTAAATTTTTGATATCTTACTATTTACGATTATGATTTCTCTTTTTTACTATGAATAAATAACGTACACAAACAATACAATCATGAACGAAACTGCTTTATGTCCACAAAAAATAAATGCATGAAACCCTTTAAACGATTTTTCTGATGTATGTATCCAGACCGGAGATGTGACAAATACGAATCCAAGTAACCGAATTTCCCTCTCATCACAACTGGATGGGGACTTTCTCACCAAGGTCAGCCACTTATTGAAGTTTTCATTTTAATTATTCTTCCGAGTCTGAGCTGCATTATGGCTGCAAATGTGTGATTGGAAAAGCAAAATAAAATCTAAAGTTCTAAGCCATTATAGATTTATAATGTGGAAACCGAAAATAGTTCGTGGAAAAATATGATAAATACTTACATGAAGTTTAACTCTATTTTTCCAATAAAGGTTTGCTTTTCCTAAAACTTGGTTAAACTCTCACACACTTAATACCTGAAACGCAATTGGGTCGTCAAAGAAGCACTTGGAAACCTTTCAAAACCATCCGCCAAATTTAAAATATTTTACTTAATGTTTTGTTTGTTTCAGCTTTTCAATGATTCCGACATTTTAGGACCCTATGGTTTGAACTTTATCAACGAAGCGAACAATGATAAGAAGGGTAGGTGCCAACAATGTTTTCAAAATGAACACAAGTTTATAACGTGCGGTTCATCATTTTAATTTTTATTTTTCTTTTCACTAGGCTCAGAGCTTATGTCCTACCAACCCATGTATGACTTATCTGATATTATCGATATCAATGATAAAAACGAGCTAGAAGGTAGTTTCATTTCTATTCATTTGATAAACAGATCTAAATGATTATTTTCTTTTCAGCTGTTGACCAAACGAATAGGCCTAGCAGCTCGCGTCAGTTGCAACAGGTTGAGCAGCAGCAAAGGGAGCCTCCTAGCGTCCTCAATACACCGTACAATGACTATTTCACCAATACAGTCGAACCCGTTGGTACACTTAGGAAAAGTGAACCAGCAACCATTGGCAACCAAAAAACAAAGGACCTTAATTAAGACACTGTCGATACTTTGTACATGAAATTAACACCGGCGTACATCATGTAACAAGACGAGCAAATTAATTCCATTGAAATTTCTTCTTGTTTGGTTTTATCACAAAAATATACATATATACATACGTATATATACGTATATATGTATATGTACATATTTGTAATTTCGTTACCATTGGGAAAAGGAAAAACCCAGATATTTTTTACATGCTAAAATTGAATAGCATTTCCACGAGTTTTTATATTTTTACAACTTGGCAGGTTTTTAAAATTAATGCTATAATTAAATGTGGGTTCAAAACCATTACTTTTCATGGAACTTTTGTATACATATGCATACATACAAATATACATATTATCCTTATCTCTATTATTCTTGTTATGCACTTACAATACATAATATATAGTAAGTTTATTAACATTTTATCGTCCTTAACAAGTTACTTTTCAATCAAATCAACACTTTTATGTGAGAATAATTTTGAAATGCTTTTTTGTTTTTGCTAAATTTAAAGATTCAAGTCATTGCGATATATCATTCTATTATTGGTGGAGACGTGTTGAATAAATGTGTTGACGACTGCTTCTATGATCCAAAAACTCCTTTATTTTTAGAACAAAAAGAAGATCAGTTGACCATACTTTTATTGATTAGCAGGAAACGGATTTTAAGGACCTAAAAACCTATAAAAAAGCCAAAATAAAATAACGAAATAGGCTGGAAAAGGCAAAATAAAATAGCGAAATAGGCAGGAAAATGCATTAGAAATAGCAAAGAAAGCAATAAAAAAAGACAAAAACTGAAAAATATCTTTGGTTTGCAGGAAAAATGTTCAACGGACGCCACTACATAACCAATTCCTATAAAGAATTGCTCGCTGATTCCGAAAATCGAGTTACTTTTTATTCTATGGATAAGTTCTCGAGATATTTTCAGGTGTACATGGCGTAAGAGTAACATTATTTCCTGCTCATTTTTCATACAAAAAATCTTTGTGCATTTTCATATGACCACTTATTACTTCTTTATTTTCCCATCGATTTCCTTCATTATCAACTTGATTTTTTGTAACAGAATAGGCTTTAACAAAGCCTTGAATATTCTAAACGTGCGCTCGTCGTGAGTTGATCCAAGTGGCGCCCAATTTAAATATGGAACGTTTGAAAACTTTTATTTATCAGGAATAAGGGCATTTTCCTCGCTATGATCACTTTTTTAAAGGTCATAAAATAGGCAAAAAAGGCGACATCAATTGTATATATGGAATCAGGGCGAACTAAATCGTGGACATACTCAATCGAATATACTCTTTCTCTTTAGCAGAAAAAAAGGCAAATTCCATAAAATCCGTTTCCTGTTGATTAGTTTCAAACTTTTTTCAACAATAGCGCGATTATGGTCCAACCATTTCATTTAACACATTTTTTAATTTTACGGAGTTTGCGTTCGGGGTATACTTATATACCTTTTTAAATTGAAAGTATTATTTATGATACGAGATAGAGAATGGACCATAGACACCAACAACGTAACTTGAAATATCGATACCAGTTACGGGTTAATTAAAAAAAGTGGAACTATAGGTTTGACTAGTGAAAAATTAAAAACAAACGCTATAAGAAAAAAGTGCTAAATCAAATTCAGCCTAGCTACAGGAGGGAGAATTATAGTTTTGGAAAACAGAGACAAAAAAAAACAACTTTATATAAATGGTTTAAATGTTTATATATTTTAAATTTCGATGAATATTACATTTATCTATATAGTTTTATATGTCTATACATTTGGAGGAAATACTAGTAAAACTAAGTAAAACCAAAATTTTTTTATCGGATCGTTTTCATTTAATACATTTTATTCTCATTGTAAATTAAATCCATTTTGTCCCTCATTAATAGATTAACTTTGATCATTGTACTTGGCATCTTTGAGTATTTTAGCGAACTCAAACTTGACACGCTCCCGCTCTGCACGGGCCATATTACGCAAGCTATCAACCAGTGATAGGCAATATAGTTCGATGGGATCATTAATGGGCGTTAGAACTGGAAATGGCGCCGGCATCGACTTTCTCTTTGTAGCATTAGACACGATATCGTTTGGTGTGCTTTTATCGACAGAATCAATAACATCATTTTGGTGCCCCAGCGTAGATGATGTAGCTGTTTGCTTTGGTATTGGATTCAAAGATGCTTCACCATTAGAAGCAAAGGTCTGATCATTGCCCATAACGACGATCGGCGCTAGCGACAAAGGACTTGAAGCATGTGATTGCATCGGTGATGGTGGACATATCGCTGTTTGCGTATGAGAACTATCGCCTTCAGGAGTTGCGAAAACCTTTGGAGGTGGTGTTAATTTAACTTTATGTTGTGTTGAAGCATCCGTCCGTGGGTCACTCGACTTTTCCGATTTGAATGCTGTAGGCAGTTCCGTTAGAAGTTGATCATCTTCATAGCATTCATTAGTTCTTGTGGAAGACAATTTTTCGTTCTCATAAATTTGAAGAGGCGGCCTAGAATGATCAATATGATAGTCCCTAGGATCGTACTCCATTGGTGTGTTGTCGTCGTCGCTGTGCTCGATTTCAATGATTTCATAGGTGCTGGCATTCTGTGGATCCGCATAGAGATAGCTATTGCTATCATTATCGCTGGAATCAATGTTTTTAAATCTATAACCAATATCAGCAAAGGGACGGTTATACTTACGAGCTGGAGTACTTCTTATAAGTTTGTGCTGTATTCTGCAGAAATGATAAGTCTTCGGTAAACCGTCGTTTGCGTATATTCGCATTTGCCAATCCGGTTTCCAAGCTTTTGAGTTCTTGCAAGTAATTGTATCGTATGTTTTTCCATTTCGTTTGAAGAAATTTTGCTGCCCGCAATATATGTATGTAAGTAAAAATGTTTTAATATACATAATATGTGTATGTATGTACATACATTCAAATGTATGATAAAATCGCCGGTTGCAATACTATGGGCATGTTCGAGGCACGTAATAAAAGCGCCAATACTGCAGCCCTGATGAAAATTTGCAATACTGTTGCAACTTTCCAACTGATAAAACGTTGCTAGAAATTCACACCAAACGTGATACTTTAATAATTCGTGCAATACTGCGGTTGTGATTACATCTCGAACGAGCCCTATCTATACACATACATACTATGTATACATGTATGAGACAAATCAATAAATACGTACACGGTGTTCGAAGCTCCGCAGCAATACGATCCCAAATCGCAACTCTAACTTGGTAGCGTCTGTAGTGCTCGTGGCTCACATCATAAATGGCCGGATTATCACGCACCAAGCGGATCAGTTTATCATCTAAAATAATATGTGTTTTAAATTGCAGTTAAATTTTTAATTGCAGTTTGTAAAAACTCACCGAAGTCTGGTCCATTAGTTTCACGCATTCTGTTAGAATAATCACTAGTTTTTGTTATTGTAGTAATTAAAATTTCTTTCGAGCAACGATTTTGAAAAACTATACTTTTCAGTGCAGAACAACGTCACCTGCGTCCTTTTAACTTCCTTTTCATGTTATTGTATATTGTGGGCGCATGTCCTATGTCCTTCGGCCCTGCATTACCCGCCTTGCACTGCTGTACCGACTTTTCGTTTTTTCCATTTTGCTGTCATCCTAATCGGTTTGGGCCATGAACCAAAAATACAAGATCACGTAAGAACGCGACGTTGTATTTTTAACTGGTTTTGAGAAAAAAGTTTGCGAAAGCGGGTTCGTCAGCTGAGCGTTTGTTTACATAACAAGCACCACTATTTTACACTTTTAAGCTGAAATTAGTCGAGAACGCAGAACGTATACTTAAACGCAGTCTGTATACGCAGAATTTTGTCGATTACTGGAGCCCTCAGTGTCGCTTACAACACTGTTGCCACTCATCAATGCCTTTTCATAAACTTACCCTTTCAACTACAATTTTAAGTGCTATAATAGATTTTAGCTAAATATAAACTACTTAGTTTTCAACAAAAACCTTATTCAATAGTAAATTTCAAATATTTTAAACATATTTTGAATAGGAACTTATAACTTTTTTACCATCTGTATAACTGACGAAGTGGCAACCATCTAAAGAAGGAGAAATCAGCTGACACGGAAAAATCTAAATTCCGCAGATTTCATGGTGCTTTGGTAAGACAGATCGTGTCAGCTGACTCGGGTTTACGTACCGGTAGGTTTACGTTCTTGACTAATTTCAGCTTTATTCAAGTAAAGAAGAGTTAATTCAACATGACAACACATTTTAAAGCATTTTGTTGCATCATTTTACCTAAATTGTGCGTTTAAAGTGGCTGACAATAATTTTGGCTAATTTTGGTTTTCGTTGTTTTCTTTGCTTTGTTTACTTTTCGCTCGTTTTCCAGTGAAACAAGATGGCGTTGAACCATGATTCAATAATGAAAGGTTTTGTAAGAAAAACTTTCTCTCGCTCTAATTTTATCAATGACACTCCCACCCTACTCCTAAAAACAAAAACAGTGATATTTCTTTTCCAAATATCTTTGCAAGTTTTAAGAACATTTTTAAATTGTTAGTAGTGAAATTTTTACTTTTTAAAATTGAAGAAATGTTTGTTCTTCATTCGCTGGCGCCAACAAGACAAAATGGTTGAGCATCGTTGGACTACAGAAATTCAATGTAGGCTAAAAAAACGAAATTCCCTTAAATGCCGAAATATATTTGTCGATATTCGTGGAGACCTCTTGATTCTGCCAAGTCGCTGTAAAGTAAAGCATGCAATGGTTTTGGTAAATGAGCCAACGCAGGTATCCTGGTGTCTCCGAATGAGGCTTTGACGCAATATAACATTGCCAAACCGCATCCATAGGCCCAATCGTCACACGACAGTTCGGTTTAGTCAATGGCACGATGTATGTAATTGCACACTTATACTAGGTTCACATATAAGTAGATTATCCTCATTTTCGAGCTTAACACCCTAATCTGTAATTATAACAAGAGATTAACCATATAAAATTCGTCCCTTGTTAATCTGTAATTATAAAATAATCTCAGATTAAACCGATAACTTTTCGGTGTCCATCCTAGTTTTATCGATTGTTTTTGCAAAAAAGAGAAGAAATGCCAAATGTAAAAGTAAACAAAAATGTACGCTAGCAAGGAAAAGAGGTTTGTAAAGGTATTTTTAATAAAATGTTAAGTTAAAATATATTTATATTGCTCATTATAGCAGAAAAACGTGATCACGGTGGCACAGAGATGAAACATAACTTTTCCTTGAGATGTGAGAATAACAAGCACAACAGATTTGACGGCTAATAATCTGAGATTTGCCTGTGTAAACGGGGTGATTAAAAATCGAGCTTTCATTGTGATAATATTGATATGTGAACATAGTTTAAAAAGGTTTACGCACGAGGCGAATGTTGGTTGGCGACCAACTTTGTTGAAAGCGATTAGTTGAAAGTAGAATGCAAAGTTGAACAATGCAAACGCCTTTTTATGGCGAATATTTTTATACTTTTTTATATTTTGATATTTTTAATCATTAAATTTTTTTTCGGGCAACCCGGCGAATGGTTAATATTCTGACAGTTGTATAGTCTCCCCAGAATATTAAAAGTGCGACATCAAAGAATTCGAATTACCATATTCGAAACAATCGAGCCATATCCGCGAAGGAAACGTAAGCTCCAAATTTTTATATTTGCCGTTTTTTTTTTGTTTAATAAATACTGCATATTTTCCACAAACAAATAGCTTCTTCATATCCATCATCTGGCAAACAAATACAACAAAAAAAAAGCTGAAAGTGGACCATCCTCCATCCATTCTCGAGTTATGCGCCATCTGACGTACGCAAGTTTGGTATATACATAGAAATATTTATTTTCAATAACAATCGGGGGTTATATTCGATGTAAATAAGCTTGTTTAAATTAAATAATTAAATCAAATTCGCTTTTGTTTTAAAATACCACCATTCACTATTATCCACACCTTTTTATGGAATTTAGCTCCCATTTTAGGAAGTGTGATTGAATTCTTCCCCTTTTTCTCCTGCTTCCATAAACCATCCCTGTGGGTGGGAGTGCCAAATTTTAGAAAAAAGCTACTTACAAAACCTTTAATAATTGAATCATGGCGTTGAACCAAAAGAGAGAGGGTTAAAGCATAAACAGACTACAGCGTTGATCCGGATCAACTCGGGAATAAACTGCAGTTGATGCGTCTATAAAGCTATCTAAAACCATCGATGGCAAGGATCAAGCAAGGATGACATGATGTGAAACTCTCCAAGGTGAATCTATAGATCTTAGAATCTTCGATTTGTATCTGTACAAAGCAGACGCAAGTACATACGGAATAGAAATGTTTCTATTTTCATCTGACACACAGATAGAATCATACGATTTTAGTTCATGATGCAATAATACAAGGTGGTATCAGTTGTGATAGCTCGATTTGACACTGCCTTAGCTCAGTAGAATGAGGAGAAAAACGGGAAGAAATGAATCCCCATATGGGGAAAAATATAAAATTTCACATTTTCTCCTTAACAAAATTTGCTTTTTTATAGTATATTCGTTATGAAATGAAATAAAATAAGACAAAATACCATTTTAAGAAAACAGTGTGTATACTGAGAAAAAAAAGCATTCAACTATATTAATGGGCAAAGAATAGTTAAAGAAGTAACACTGTTTCACGTAAGGCAGTCAATATGGCGGAATTAGAGCGAGAAGTTGCCAACTGATAACGCCTGTACCTTGGCCTGTATTATTGCATCATGAGTTTAGTATATTTCGTTTTAATTATTGAATCATGATGACGTCATTTTCACGTTACTCCCCGAATTTCACATCTTCGGCACCAGTGTTGCCATCTTTTGCTTTTCAAAAAGCACCAAAAACTTGGATAAAAGCGGTTTACCACACTAAAATCACCAAATTTTTTTTTAATCAAGGGATCCTTTTTCCATAACGTAATACCGAAGTACTTCACATTAAAACTGGTATATCTCGAGAAAGAAAAATCGAATCGCATCAAACGAAAATGATGCCCTAATTAAAAATGAGCAAATAATTTGATGTTTTCATTTTATAACCTAAAATATCGCTAAAAACCGTGTTTCTGGCACTTTGAGGTTAGGATATCTCAAAATTGTAGTGCTGGAGCAATTGTGAGGCCAGATCGAACGATGTGTTTTACTCAGGTGGTAAAAAAAAAAAACAATATTTGTACAAATAATTAGAAAAGAAAAAAATACTTAACTTACTTGCGTACTAGCATTTTCAACGCGAATACAATTTAACAAGGTGGCTTTCGTGTAAATTCAGTGCTGCCACAGCCTTAAATATTTCAAATTATTTCAGGTTTTAACTATCTCGAAGTAATTTTAGTTCATAAAAAAAGCACTAAAGAAGGCACTAGGCACTAAATAATTTTTTTTTGCGTTTTAATTTTCAAAAACCACTAAATCTAGTGCTTAAAGCACCAAGTTGGCAACTATGATCAGCACAATATTGTATTCTATCGGTCTTGCTCTACTCCGTGCCCTACCGGCGAGTAAACCAGTGTTGCCGTTTTAACCATTTGGTGGCTAAATTTAGGTAACGACTTCTTTTTTTGCCACCAACATTTTTTTTGCCAACAGCCTCTTTTTTAGCTACTGCTTAAATTTATTCTAAATGTTAAAGTGAATATCTTTTTCTATGCTCATAATTTATCATCCATCTGAAAAAAGTGTGGCACTCTTATGTATTATAACTACTATTCCTCAATGAAAAGCGCTCCAAATTCAAAGCGGTTGCCGAGTATGATTTTTTGCTTCAGACAACTGGTTCCGAAGAAGCGTCATGCAATAAGACTACAAACTACATACATGTACATATCCTCGTTTAAAGAAATGTGCCCTATTTCAAACAGTTCTCTCTAAATAAGTCAGGTACCTGACTTAGAAAAAATTAATTTAAAAAATATTTTTATTATGCCACTTTTAAAATCGAATCTGGCCACCACTAAACCTTAACAGCGGCAACACTGGAGTAATCAAGCAAATCAGCAGTTGAAATCAAGCGAATTTTCTTTATGCAATCTTATTTTTGTTCGTCTAAAGTTGTCTACCACTTTTAGCTGAATTTTTATTATCTCGTTTTAAATCGTGTTAAGTATGGCCAGCCCCAGTTTTGGGAGCTTTGGTCCATTAATTGGTGTGATTTACGTGAGCAGCTCGTATTGTCGTTTTCTTGTACGTACTAAAATTTCAACAAAAATTTCTTGTAGATTTAAGAAAAAACAATTGATTTCAGATATATTCCACAAAAAATGCAGAGGTTTTAACGTTTCATGAATTAAAATTACGGCAAATTGTTCATAATGCAGGTTGGTTAGAATATGATCCGGCAGAAATATGGAAGAGCACACAGGAGTGCATTGAGGTATACAACTAAAATTTTAAATGACTTATTTAAATAATTAAATAATATATTTTTGACAGACTGCTTATAAGAATTTAGTTATTTTGGAAATTAATCCTTATGATTTAATAGCTATAGGCATATGTAGCCAACGAGGAACAACAATTTTATGGGACAAACACACTGGCGACCCTTTGTGTAACGCTGTTGGTAACGTGAAGCAGTTTTTCTTTACTGTTTGGTTTTACATTACAATTCTTTCGTGTTTTAGGTTGGAGTGATTGCCGAACTGCTCCCCTCTTGAAATCGATGCTTGCTAATGTTAACTATGATGTGAATTACCTGCGACACAAAACTGGACTGCCGCTAAGTACGTGCTTTAGTGCTTTAAAGATAAAGTGGTTACAAGCAAATGTAGCAGCTGCATCAATAGCCTTGGAGAAGGGTACGTGTCTTTTTGGAACTCTTGATTCATGGATTTTATGGGTAGACATGGCATTTGAAAGCTTTAGTGATTTTGTTTATCGAGATCTTTTTTCTGTATAGAACCTTACAGGCTCCAATATAAGTGGTGTTCATGCAACAGATGTTACGAACGCAGGCTATACTAGTTTAATGAACATGCGCACACTACAATGGGACGTTAAGCTTTGTAAATTTTTTCGCATTCCCATGCAAATACTGCCGCGTATACGCTCAAATTCCGAGCTATATGGTTATGTCATTGGCGGCCCACTTAATGGCCTTCCTATAGCAGCGGTATGGTTTATTATATGAATTAAAATTATTTTGTAATCTGATCGGAATGGTATGGCTTGTGTCATCCGCAGTGCATTGGCGAACAACCGGCCGCTTTGTTAGGCCAGCTACAAACAAAAGTTGGTCAAAATGTTTGCATCATTGATGACAGTTGTTTTGTACTGCTTAATACAGGAGAAGAAATGATCGAATCTTCTCATGGTTTGCTGTCATTAGTGGCTTACAAATTAGGTCCACAAGCGCCTTCCTGCTATTCATTGGAAGGTGCTATTTCGAATGCTGGTGCTACGGTCAATTGGCTTCAACAAGGTTTGCGTATAAGCACAGAAATAAATTCTAATGACAATGTAGTGGAGGTGCTGAACACTTTTCTGGGGGAAAGTTCTATGATATCATCTTCTTGTTCGTCAGGTATGTTAAACGCAGAATGTGGCCTGGCAGCAAAGCGATCAGAGATAACTTTTGTTCCCGCCTTCCATGGATTATATGCGCCATACTGGCGCCACGATGCACGTGGGTAAGAATTCCCTCTATTAATAGTACCTAAAAATAATGTAAATTTATATACAATTTAAATATTGTATATTTTAAAGAATAATTCTGGGCTTGACCAGTCAAACAACAGCAGAAAATGTTACACAAGCCGCGTACGAAGCAACGGGGTTTCAAATTCATGAAGTTTTGGATGCTTTTAAACGGGATACTCCCACATGGAATCGGAAAAACAATAAAGAGCGTTTAGTGTTTGGTGGGGATTATGCCGAAAACAATGCTTTCATGCAATTCATTGCAGACATTGTGGGTTGTTTGATGGAAAGGCCTCAAACAACGTCACCGGCAGGTCTAGGTACAATGATATGTGCGGGTATCACTATGAATGTGGTATCCTTGTTACAAGCAGAGGTGATGTACCCACCACCAGTGGATGCCTTCAGCCCTACAACCACGGAAAATCGTAAATAAAATGAAATATTTTTAAAGTTTACATAAAAAAGTATATTTGTGATAGGGAGAGAACAATTCTATAGACGTTGGAGTTATGCAGTCCAAAAATGTTTAAATTGGAATAATTTCGCCACTTATGAAGAAGATTTGGAACTATTCGCTCAGCGTGACAGCGACCCGAATCTCCCGATACGCCGCTCGCTACCTGGTAGCATATATATAACAAGTTCATTTCTGCTCTTGCTCGTTGCAAATTTTTTGCATGACCGTAGTATTTTGTAACCAAATAATTTGAATGTATTTGGAAAGTGATGTGTAGGTTTAATGTATTCCTACTATTAGAGTTTTACATTATTATGAAATAAATATAATCTTTTAGTTAGAAATTAATTAGAAAAACATTTTGATCCCTATGCTGAATATCGTCATCGTCATCGTCGACGATCGTCAGCGCATCAGTAACATGGCTGACGATGGCCGTATCGTCACTTTTACTGACGATCTCGATATTCAACTTTAATGTCAATTGAACATACAAAACGTTGAGTGTGCTTGCATCTAGTCATATAATTTGGTGAATTAATCCCGGTCAGCATTTTTTGCGCTTAAAAATATATGTTTGTATTGATCAGAGCGAACGAACTTTTGCATTTATTTGGAATATGTTTTATTGTAATTGTGTAATATGAATAAAGGTGAATGCAGAGAAACTAGTAGTTCGGATTTGATAAACAGATCTAAATGATTTTTTTTTTTTGTTGACCAAACGAATAGGATACGAATGCAATAAATAAACTAAATTAATACTAATAAATTTGTCTAACTGCGTACGTTGTTGTAACAGCATACGAATTCCCCAGTTTTTAGGGAGTGTAGCTGGAATGACAGCCCTTGCCCAGATATAAATCTGGGACGTTCCGGTTACGTAGACCCGACTGTAAAAATGAAGAAACCTGAAGTTCCAATTTGTCGAATGTTTTATTCCATCTTAATTTAGAAACAGAGAGAAGACTCAGCTATTGCATTAGGTAAATTAAGAAGTTTTGAGTATTTTTTAAGCTTTTTTCTTAGTCATCATCGTCATCGTCATCCTCTGATGGCACGAAAAGGTCATTTTCTTCGAGAAAGTTAGCCACGCTCTTGCTTATTGCAGCACCAAGAAACAAACCGGGAAGAACAGCGCAGAAAACGAACACAATGCCAAATGGAGTTTGATGTGGCTTGGGTTTTAATGCACCACTGCGGAAGTGTGTACTCTGTGTCATATAGCCTAACTTAGCACGTTCGTCCAACGATCGACCAACTGCTCCACGAATTGCCAGTAATGGCCGTATAAGGCGAGAAAATACCATTTTTTCACAACACAACAGCAGTTAAATTTATTTCTGGACTATCAGCTGTTTGTGGGAAACATATGGCTGCTTTTTGTAGCCGATTATTTTTTTGTAGGCTTGTCAATCATTTAGTCTCTTCGACATCATTCATAGTTGACAATTCATACGTGAACTGATGTGTTGGTGTTTGTTGTTTATTTCAATTAACCCTCAGAAAACACATGTTTGAAAAAACGAAAATTTTTGTTCTGTAATCAAAATTGATAATAATCGCAAAGATAAATTCCTATTAATTAAATAAAATTGAATTTCGTACATTCTTTCCACATTGGATAGATTGGGCACTGGTATTTGCTTTGACGGAACTGATTCCGGATGTAATCGCTAACGCTTTAAGCTCGTACTAGAAAGGTCGGAGGTGTTAAAAATGATCCTCACAAATACATGCTGTTGGTGACGGAAGACATGTGGCAAGCTAGCTCCCACTGTTTGTTTTTTACATATTCGTCGTTCGGTAAGATGAGCATGGAGTCACGGCACTTCGCACCCTTGCATAAAAAACACGTATGCGGCATTATTAGTTTTTTCGCTTTCTATATTTCTTTTTTGTTAATATTTCCTCTGTTCATGATTTGAAAAAGATTTAAAATTGAAACTATCAAAAGGTTTTAAAGAAAGTGGCAAGAAATTTCAAAATTTTAACTAACCTCCTAGTTACGAAGCTGTCGAATTATTTTTTTTATAGGGCTTTGATATAATGTATATACTTTTTTAATATCTCGGTATTTCCAATTTGGCGTTACGTCACACTTGTATGACAAGATGTTAAAAAATAAAATTGAAAGTCACAATTTTAAAAAGGTTTACCTAGATTTGCATAGCAATTAAATAACTCCTTATACAGTCAAAAAAATTACAACTGTTGGTAGTAGCGATTTAAAGATATTAGTAAACATACGCGCTGGCGTGACGTTTGACGTTGAAGAGTACACAGAATGCGTAAAGGGTTTAAAAATTGAGAGGAACTTTATTTGCCTGTTACAAAATTTGTATTAACAGCGAAGAATATTAGAATATATTATAAAAAGCAGCCAAATCGACCTATACGTAAAATAAATAAGATAAATATAGGACTTTTATTTTTCTTTTTTTTCGCGGTAGACTGTTCACTCGAATCGCCCATCTGTAAACATGTATCTATCTTTATGATCATATCGCACAGCTAGATCTAAAGTGCGATCAACTCAACAAAAACATTTTGCGATTTTTTGCATAAATCAATTCATAGGACTCACATCCAGTTAATAGAAATATTCTTTTCTTCATGTTTGTATGCACTACCTAAAAACTATTGCTATACCTGTTTTGGTATTAATTCCCCACGGTAAAACCAATTTTATTGCATGACAAATGTACTTTTATTTCATAATTCTATGTATGTATGTATTACAATGCTCTTTTCTTTATTTTTAGTACAATGTTCTAGTGAAAATGTGCAGCGCGTACATGTGACGAAATAGGAAATTGACTCTGACTTTGATTGGAACGTGGCATGTAATCTTAAAATTTAAACTTATGTAACTTTGAAATGACTGGCACAAAAACTTAAAGATAAAGAGCTAAAAAAATGTCTGAATGAAAGTCAGTCTCGATACTGTCGCTGTAAATATTTTAATATGAATTTCGCTAATTATTATCTCTATTATCATAGTATGAATGTTTAAGTAGTATGCTATACGTGGCAATGACTCAATATTTTAATATTAGTGTGATTTTTTGTTTGTTTCGTAAGCGGTGATTGTGCACTGCGCTTTACATACTTATATAACATATATTTATTTAAGTACAAAACTTGAAATGATTTTTTGTTTTACAAATTTATATAATTATTTTCAGTTTTTATTCCATACAAAGGATATAAGGGAAAGGAATTTGCACATGTTAAATTTGACAAACGTTTGCATGGCTTCAAATGTGTTTTGTTGGACATACATAAATTATTTGCTGTGTAAATGTCTGGCAGTACATACATAAATTTCCACTTCTGTATTTAAATATAACTTATAGCTTTATTTTGTCAGGGGTGGGACAAGGCCAATACTGCTCAATGAAATGAATGCGGCTGAAAGGCTTACAATTTCTGCTGTTTCACTGTCTCGCTGTTTTCACTTTATGAATGATTGACTTCATGAATTTTTGCTATTTTGAAAGTTTCATTGTATTTGCATTCAAAAACATAATCTCTATTGCGTTCAAACAGCAAATTGCACAAATTCACTGCATGCACATCAAATAATTTATTCAGCTTATTCTTGACTACCAAAAAATTGGCTAAGCTGAGTTGGAGAAACCAGCCCCAAAAGGGGACAGGCTGTACATAAATTCCCACTTCTTCTTATTTTTCTTAGCCAACACTTGAAATATGAGTCGCAAATCATTTCACAATACTTTCAATACAACCTACTTTAAACTCACTCAAAAAACATTTGCAATAAATTACGAAAATGTATGTACATACATAATAATATGAATACATATACATGTATTTACATACATATTAATATAAAGCACTCACCAAATTGTATATAGTACAACAAAGTCCACAATTAGCAATTTCACTATCTCGAAAGTCCACAAATTTCCTTGCACTTTTTAAATCGCAAAACGTATAGTAGTAATGAGCAATCTAGGAATGTAACAAGACATCGATGTATCGAGCAACACCGATGGTCGTGGCTTCAAGCATCGATTTTTGTCGATGTTTTTATGAATTTTAAATCAAACCATCGATGTTTACTAATCTTTACTAGTATTTAACCACTTCATTTTGTGTGCGCCTTAAAGTTTTGAGGGAGCGTATGATAGGTACTTTTATAAACTTCTTAAATTAATAAATGTACATATGTACATCTGCAAATAAGATAAAAAAAATCATCAAACTTTCCTAAAAATATCGATGTTTTAATTCGGTACATCGAACTACCATCGATATAAGAAAGGGAAAGGAATTTATACATGTTAAATTTGACAAACGTTTGCATGGCTTTAAATGTGTTTTGTTGGACATATATAAATTAATTAATTGATTTTAAATGTGTGACATACAAACTATATACATGCATTAGACTGCAACACCAAAAAAGTTGCGGGTTTTCCACCCCGATTACAAAATTTATTATATTTTAAGACTTTCACCAAAATATTTGGGAAAAATGTTAAGATTTACGGGAGCTTGGCCGACTGGAAAATACCTTCAAAAATGGAGTTTTTTTATGAATAATAATAGTTTCTTAATGGATTTTTCGACACAAAATCCCCTCAGATGACAAAATAGTTTTAGCTTTAAAAATATGCACAAAAATATTCAAAAATTTTTTCAACGGAATCATAATAACGAGATTTTTGATGCTGTTTTTTCATTTTTTCAAAGATTTCTTTAAGAAAAACTTGAATGACTGGGCTAAAACTATACCGACAAAGATTTGTGAGGTATCAGTGGAAAGGTATCTTCTCACCCTTTTTAATTATTTGCAAAAAAAAAACCATTCACTTCCCAATTTTTTCTTTTATCCTAATTCAACATGGAATGAGGCTCGTTTGTCTTACCTTTATCTTTCATGCTTTGAAAGAGTTTATTAGCAAATAACTAGAAGGGGTGAGAAAATTCGTTTCCAATGATACCTCGATAATTCTGAATCGGTAAAATTTGGGCTGAGTTATCCAAGTTTTTCTTAAACCAGTCTTTGAAAAAAGTTCAAAACCAGTAACAAAAATCTCATTATTGTGATTCCGTTGAAATTTTTTTTTAATATTTCTATGCAAATTAACTACTAACTGTTTCGTCATCTAATACCACGTTCTGACCGACATCGAAAACATGTTTTCGTTGCTAAAACTGGTTTTCGACCTAAAACATGTGTTTTCGTCCATGTAAAATCTGTCAAATGAAAACCAGTTTTCGCTGAAAACTACTTGAAAACTCACGTTCCACTGATTCCAATCGGTGTCTTCACTGGTTTTTTTCGATTATTTATCGAAGTGGAAGTCGTATTTTCTCATCTTTAATACGCTATTTCGTATTTATTGTTAATTGGCTGGCCAAACTAAAATAAGAATGAAAGTAAGAGGTTGCTAATGAAAAGAAAATGTGGGAAAAGCATTTCGGTTTTGTTTCTGTGTAGCAAAACTGCAATCAGAGGATGTAAAACATCTCAACGAAAACACTAACAGCCGGTGTGAACAGCCTTCAGCCCACAATTCAAAAACTCGTTTTCAAAAGGTTTTCGTTGTCGGTCAGAACATGGTATAAGGTGATTTTTTGCAAAAAATACTTAAAAAATCTGTTTTTATTCACAAAAAAAACTCAGTTTTTGGTGGTATTTTCAAATCGGCCCAGCTCACGTAAATCTTAATATTTTTCCGAAATGTTTTGGTGAGTCTTAAAATATAATGGGTTTTATAATGTACATACATACATATATAAAGTTGTTTTGACCATTTTTCTTTCGTGTACAACAAACAACATCCGCCTTATCCCGAGCTTCGCCCAAAAAAATCCACCCGAAAATTACATGGAAACCATAGTTAAAATACAAAACTTATGAAAATTCTGCAAAATTTCACTATAATTTCAAACTATTTAATCAGAATCTTTAGAAAAAACGTTGGTATTTTGTAGCCCATTTAATTGTATTATAAAAAACTAAAAAAGAAAAATAGTAAAAAAAACGGTCAAAATACCGCGCTTCTTTTATTTTGTGGACAACTATATATATGTATGTATGTATGTGAAATAAATTACGCATATCAAGAGTGATGTGTATGTAATAAGCCCCGTTTGGCCTGACTTATCCTAATCCCGGTAGCAGCAGAAAAAATTTTGTCCATTTTTGTTCCTTATTCATAACATATATACGATATATACATATGCCGTATATAAAATACCGCAGTTGTTGGAATCGTGATGTTAATGCTGGGAAAGCCTTAACACGAGTTTCATTTTCCACGAACCCGTTCACTTTTCACTTTTGGTTTCCATGTATTTACTATGGTAAATTTTTTTTTCGGGCGAAACTCAAGATAAGGCAGAAT